AAAAATACATTGTACTCTTCTAATACAAGCTTGACACTCAAGACATCCTTGAAATATCTTTAAGGGGACCAAAAAAACCCCCAATCCTAGGTGTTCCCTGTGCTTTCTTCCTAAGTCTGGATAGCCCTTCCTTGCACAAGGCTTCTCCCTGTACAGCTTAACACCCAAGATTATTTCATGCTGTTTACTGTTTGAACTCCGAACTAACTTCAAGTTCTTTCACGCAGTCAAGCAATTATTTAACCAATAATCAACATTTAACTGTGAATATTAAAATTAGCTCTCTTCAAGGAGACACAGTGTTCTTGCTTCCAGCATTAACAAGCCTGTGCGTTCAGCACTTTTTCCCCCCCTTATCATGTGACAGGCTATTTTTAATATTTGCCTGAATATATTTTGCATCCTCCTTTGATCCAGAGAGCAGTTTAGCGAGGCTTGCCCGCGGATTGCACTCCCTTGGCAGCGGCAGCAGCGGTGCAGGGCGCAGCTTTCCCATCTCGGCGCAGTTGGGCCCGCGCTGGCGGCGGCAGGAGCGGAGCTGAGCCGAGCTGGGCTGCACAGGGCAGGGACACGTGCCTGGAGCACATGGTCCTGCAGGCAGCCCCAGCCTCACGTGAGGCTCAATGTGAAGAGCAGCTCCTGGCACCAGCCTGCCCATGGTGGAGCTGCTCATTCCCATCCTCACGTGGGAGGCCAAAGGTCAGGAAATTCCCGCCGAGAGCCCTTGGCCTCTGGGAGAGAAGGGGTTCCTGCAGCGCCCGGGGACGGCTTGTAAACAATGATTAAAGCTTAGGAGAGGATTCCACGCACAGGCTGGCAGCTGGGAATGCTGCCCTTCGCTCTGCCAAGCTGTGCTGGAGGAGGAGATCACGTTAAGAAACGCAGGGGAAGGAAGGCTGCAATCCAGGGAGTGCTGCACACACACCCTTCGGGGTGCCCCGGCCGCACCTCGCCCCGCACTGAGCTGCATGGAGCAAGAACAGCCTCTCCCAGCAAAAATCACTGAAACCCACCCAGTGGTGCCTGCTCTCAGTCACTGCAGCTCCGTGCCTGCGCAAGAAGCCAGAGGCAATGGATACTGTGCTCTAGACAGAATATCTGGACTGAGCAAATACACCACAGCGTTTCATAAAAATCTTTGAGGGGTGGGAGGTCTAAGTGCACTTCATATGGAAACAATTCTCTGCTTTTTGATTAATGTGCCTCTAATTTTACTTTTTTTAAGTCAAGACTTGCAGATATTGCACATAGGTATATTTCTGCAGTGGATTACAAAGCTTGTTTTTATTTCTTTTTTCTTTCCTTAAATAATCTTTGGCAAATAATCTAAGGCACCCAGCCATGCAGACAGAAAACCATCATCAGAGAACACAAAGAGGGAGCTCTCTCAGAGCCCCCAACAGCCCTGTTCTCCTTTGGAGCAAGGCAGAAACAACACCTGGTTATCACTGTGCCAGCAGCATCCCTGTGACACAGCCCCACACCCAAGGCTTTTTGGTGGCAAACAGAAAATTCATATCTAAACCACAAAATCCTAGAAACCTTCTAGTTAGTATTCTTCGCCAGATCTAGCTGATGCTTCTCTAATTCACACCTTTCAAACCTTTACAGTACCTGCCCCAACCACCTCCATCAGGGCTACACGGGAAAGAGCCAGGTGAAAAGCAACAACCAACTAGTTACTTGCAAAATATACACCCTCCCTTTACATACAAACAGCTAAAAATTACTCCAAATTTCCTTAAGGACTCTGCATTTAAAAATAGAGATTGACGTTCCACTGAAAGACTACATAAGGTGTACAACATGAAGAACCACAAAAGTGTGTTTGCAGTAATGGGTTACTCTGAAAGCTTCATAAAAATCTGGAAACCTTTTTCTGAGGAGACCACAGATTTCAACCAACCTACCAGCATCCAATACCAACACAAGCCAGAAGTTTTAAATGCATCTACACATGACAATGAATGTTGGTCTGCAATGCTAAAAATAAATCAAAATACTATTATTTATTAACAAAATGAGCACTGTGAAAGATAAATACATGGTTTCACTCTTGCAAGTCATTATTCTGCATCCCTCATCAAAACAAAGCCAGAAATTTCTGTAACTACATTCCCTGAACAGAAATGTATGGGAAGTAGGTGGTCGCTTTGTTCTTTGCGGATGATAAACTGGTGAGCCTAAACATCCTTCCATCGACCAGACAATCTGAGCTGAAAATACAGAATGCTTTTTGTTGGCATTACGTTTTTTAGCAGGGAGAAAGAAAATCTGTGAGGATTTTGGTAATGTCACGTCCACAGTCAGGGTCAGCACAGCTTTGCTGAGCCTGATGACACTCAGGGAATGCCAGTGCAGATCTCCTGATCTCTTCCAGACACTGCACAAAACACGTTTGGGCAACACCACTCACTCCTACAGACAGATGAGGCTTGTGCTGGAACACATGCACAAAATTAAATCTCCTCATGCTGCTCTCCCATGGACCATCCCTGGCCCAGGCGTGTCCCTGAGCCCCAGAGTCACAGCCGGGGCTCCACGTGCAGGGGGATGTCCCCCCCATGGATGTTCCCCCCGACAGGGCACAGCCGGGCTGGCAGCTGGGACCACCTGCACGTGACCCCGGTGCCAAACCCCAGAGCCACGGAAAGAGGGACAGGAGCAGCACAGGACTGGACCCTTCCTCTAGCCCCGCACGCTCAAACAGGCGCCCATTGCAACGCAGAATTCAGAAAACACACCAGTGAAATATTTTAGAATTACTATCACCTAAAACATTCAGTTTTCCTGGAAGTAGTAGGATCACATGGAATTAATCTGTATTGAAATGGTATACTTCCTACAACTTGTTCTTTGCTTTATTACAGTAACACAAATCACAACACTATTCTGGAATGATAGCTCACACCAACTAAAAACCTTTCTTCATGTGAAAATTTAAAAAATCTATTTTAAATGTTCTAAGATATATTAAGCAACAGGCTCCATTACAATGATTTTAACATTTACCTCCCTATTTCAAAGCAGCATATTTGCCTTGGCCCTTTTATGGTAACTCTTAAATGTTCATTTTTACTTTTACTAAATTGTAAAAAAAAAATATGCTCCTATATTCTCAAACTTGCTCGAATGCTAAACTGTGAGATGGTCTTCTCTTCAGTACTGATTGTCAAAGAAAGGTTTTCACATGACAGCACATAAAAATTTCAACAACCTGATGATAAACCAGACTACTGTTAATTAAGCTGCACTTCCTATCTGTAATGGGGGACAAGAAAATATTATTTAAGAAGAGAAATGAGCTCCCTTAAAAAAAAAAAAATCCACAACATTTAACGAAAAAATCTATTCTTGTTAAGGCAAGATGGTGTTGGGAAAAATACCGGCAAATTTAGATGTTTTATCCTACCCCAAGAGACATAATGTCCTTTACAACAGTAAAAAAGTGCACTGTGAGATAAGTTTGTAACCCCGAGCTGCAAAGGGCTCAGGATAAACTGAAAAAAATCAATGAGTTGAAAAGTCACACAGATAGCTGATTACAAATAAATTCTGACAGGTGATCATTAAAAGCCTGGCTCACTACTAGGCTCCTCTGAAAAAAAGAGAGAATGGGGACAGATTATCTGCTTTTAATTTTGTATGTGCACAAGTGACAGAAAACGATGTAGCACATTTGCACTATTTTTAAAGCTGGATCAGAAAAAGCAATGGGTTTCATGTTCTGCTCTTGCCTACTCCAAATATATTTTAACTTTGGACACCCTTATAAGTTATTAGTTAACCATGAAAAGCCTTGAAACTGAAACACAAAGCAAAGTCAAATCCACACAAAGTAAAAGTAAGTAAATGAAATCCATGACTAAACACACAGTCCTGATGGGGGGGCCAAGGAGTATGTTGACAGGTTTGGGGAGCTTTGGGGGATATTTTAATTCTTTTTAACGAGACAGGAACGTGGCAGACTTATAAGACATTTCTATTTCATCCTGCTCCACAACTTTTGCCTCTCTATTTATTTATTTTGCCTCCTTATCAGATGATTCTGACAATGACTTCGCACACTGAGTATGGCAAACGATCAAGCAGAAGGGAGAGGAGTGGTTTCCTGCTGCCAAGAGCACACTTTGCTCCAGCACACCACCTCATGTGAGCAGAGGAGCACAATAAATAAGTCACTCTCTGTATTTATTTTTTTTTAAGGAAAAAGGCAAAGCTCCATGTTTCCCAAACTTCAATGTTGACACTCTTCCACTGCCCATGATCTCAGCCATGCTGGTGTCAAGCCAGAGGAGTTACTCTGGATTCGAACTGGTGTCTCTAAAGGGATGATCTCAAGTGCTAATAAAATAATAAAAGACTTCCACTGACATCAGACAGGCTGGAATTGTGCATTACAACCAGGCCTTGGACTCCATGGGGTTTTCTTAAGCGTAAGGTGACTACAGATGCTAGTTATGAACTCAGGTCAGAGTTACACTCAGTTTATGCCAATTTAAGCAAGATTATAATGTTGTTCCAAAACTCAGTTCCTGTGGCAAATTTTACTTTGCTCAGTAGAGAGTAAGATTATGGCCAAAATTTCAAGTAAGAAGCATTAACCTTTAACTCCAGAATAACTGCCTACTCCTGTGTCTCACATCAAATATTGGCTTTAGGAATATTTTCTTTCACAGTCCTTTTCCCTGCTCTTTTAAGACTGTGGCATCTATGCCATTCTGTCTGTGGTCTTTTTACTTGCTAACAGCTAAGACACGGACTAAGATAGCCAAGTTTCCATGGAATTCCCAGAGCTTTCCTTCAATAATTTAAACAAAAATCCTGGTGGAGCAGCTTAGTGATAACTGGAGCTATTGTTTTTATTTGCTGGAGTGTGAGTGACAGGAATCCTCTGGGCTCTAAGCTGCCTGTCAGCTGCACAGGGAGAAGCAGTGATTTACAGTGGGGAGGAGGGGTTCATGCCAAATTCCACAGGGGAGTTCTGAGGGCTGATTTACCTGGTCTGACTGGGCTCTGCATGCAGTTCTGCGACACCATGCCTGGATGGACTGAAGTAGAAGCCCTGCTGCTGAGGTCCATGACAGAAGGTGATGCTGAGGTAGCTTGCTGGAGACCTGACTGGTGTGGGCTAGGCTCATGCTGGTTTGGGCTGGGTGGAATGCCATTTTCTGAGAGGAATTCTTCCAGGTCCATGTATTCCAACTGGAAAGTGTCTCCATCATATGGCAGTGTCTTGTCCCATAATGTTGGACCCAAGAAAGCTGACTGAGGGACTGTGGTACCGGTGCTGTCATCATCTAACTTCTTCTCTTTGTCTTTTTCTTTACCGAATGCTTAAACAAAAACACATAACAAACATGTAAGAATTCAGTAATTAAAACATTAACTACTACTACTTCCGTTATTTCTGCTCTACTCTCAGGTGTAAGAAAGGAATATTCCCTTCAAAAAAGTAACCCCTTTGACTCACTCTAATTGGAAGAGAATTGAGGGGTCATGTCAATGAGCACCTTTGTGGGAACCAACCACATTTTTGAAATTGCCCTTTGTTTTTAGTTAACAGCTCCACTCCATGCATAGCTTTGAATGTTAGCATCAAAAAGTACTCAACAGACTTAAAAGTGAACATTTAAGTATTCCAGCAAACTGGAAGCTATTGATATATTCTGTTGAAAAGAACAGTCTTAGCCTTAAATCCCTGGGATCCCTTAGTTTCTTCTAAACTAAGATCTCAATCTTGTTAGTCCTGGGACAAGCAAAATAGTCCTCAAATTCTGCACTTCTGAATGTTACTAACATACAGTGGCAAAGGCTGACAGAACAGAGCTTTGATGTGCAGAAGACACAACAAAATATTCAAAGGTAGAAGCAAAAAAAAAACTTAACTGAGGCTTCCTCATTTCTACAGCCTCCAGTGATTTCAATGCACGTTTTGTAAGGGAAACGCCTGATTTCTCTGCAAGATCTGCAAGAATCTGAACTCCTAGAGCTTCCTGTCAGCTACCAAGCCTTCGCAGTATTTTATTTTTAACCTCATACAACAGCCCCGGTGAAATCCTGCGAGTCGCTTGGCAGTGGAACTCGGAAAGACGAGGAGACAGGAACTGCGAGACCTTCCCTCGGTTTCTGCTTTTCGTGCGCGCTCGATCCGTTCGCCATACGTGTTACGGGTATTCCCGAGCTGCCTCCCTTCCCGGGGAAACCACAACTTTCTCCCGATGAACCGGGGGACGCGGGGCAGGGAGCAGTTTGTTGTGGGGCCTGGGATGGGGATGCCGGCCCCCTTTACCCGAGGCACCGAGCGCCCTTGGCGTCCATCCACCGGGGCCAGAGATGGGAGCACCGAGCGCGTCCCGTTAGATCGAGCCGGGGCGGCCGCCACTCCCGCAGAGCGCCCCGAGCGAGGCGTCCCGGGGCTCAATCGCCGGGGGAGCACCCGGGGCGGGGGGGCCGCAGAGGGACGGGGGAAAGGGAAAGCCATGCCACGGCCCCCGAGTGACAGCGGGACCGGGGCGCACTGCGAGGGGTCCCGGGGAAGCCTCACCGTCTTCGTGAGAGAGCGGCAGCTTGAGCGGATTTTCCAGCAGGGACTTCAGCACGCCGTAGGTGGGCGGCAGGAACGGGGGGTTCAGCGGGAGCGGCCGCGACATGGTCGGTGGGGGCTGCCCGCGGCGGCGGGAGGGGGCAGCTGCGCGGCGAGCGGTTCCTTCCCCCTTGCTGTAGCCGCTGTCGCGGCGCGGGTGAGCCGGGCGTGGGACCGGGCCGAGCGCCGGTGGCGAGGGGCGCTGGGGCCGCGGGACAGGGCGCGGACCGGGCGCGGGTCAGGCCCCTCCGCCGCGCAGCTGCTCCGCCGCCGCCGCCGCTCCCGCCGCCCGCTCTGCGCCGCTCTGCGCCCGCCCGCCCCGCGCCCACGTGCAGCCGCCGCCGCCGCTGACGTCACGCCCGATAGCGGCCCCGCCATTGGCGCGCCGGCCACGCCCCTCCCCGGTAGCGGCCACGCCCCCGGTACGCCCCGCCCCGGCACGCGTGCTGCCGGTCCCGGGGGGGCACCCCGGGACACCCGCTCCGAACCCCCCCGCGGGGCCGCAGCGCCTCCCCGGTAACCGGGAGGAATGTGTTAATGAGATGTTAATGAGCCTGAACGTTTGACCCCGCTCGGGGCATCCGAGCGAGGCGGCTCCCCCGGGGCAGCGGGACCCGGCGCTGCCGCGGCGTGAGGGGTCCGGGCTGCGGGGCACGGCGGGCGGGGATTCCCAGCCGTGTCTAAGGGAACCGGTCGTGGACTCTGCGAGCGTTTCCCACCGAGCTCCCCCTGCCTCTCTGCCGGGTGTAACCCTGGGGTGACAGCACTGTCACCAGCACGAGCAGGGCTCTCACCACCTCACAGAAACCTTCGGGCTGGAAGGGACCTCTGGAGATCACCCAGTCCCACTCCCCTGCCCAGGCAGGGTCACCCGGGGCAGGTGGCACAGGAACGTGCCCAGGTGGGTTTGGAACATCTCCAGAGAGGGAGACTCCACAGCCTCCCTAAGCAGCTGTTCCAGGGCTCTGCCACCCTCAATGGAAAGAAGCTTTTCCTCACATTGAGGTGGAACATTTTGTGGTTTAGTTTATGGCTATTTTTCCTCATCCTGTCACTGGGCACCACCAAGAAGCGTCTGGACCCATCCTCCTGGCGCCTGCCTTGGAGATACTTATATGCATTGATGAGATCCCCTCTCAGTCTTCTCCAGACCAAAGAGGCCCAGCTCCCTTCAGACTCTTCTTGTAAGAGATGCTCCAAATCAACTTTGGGCCTCTGCTGGACCCTCTCCAGCAGCTCCTTGTCTCTCTTGTCCTAAGCAACCCAGGATGAGAACCAACATTGCAGATGTGCCTATCAGGGTCGAGTAGAAGGAGAGGTCACACTCTTCCTAATGCACCCCAGGATCCCACTGCCCCCCAGGGCACATTGCCAGCTCATGGTCAACGTGTCATCCACTAAGACTCCCAGGCCCCGTTTTTGCTCAAATGGGACTTTCCTTCCCACTCACCGTGATCCTCATTCAAGCACGGATGACTTTCCATCTGCTCTGGCCTTCAGCCCATGCAGGCTGTGCAAGAACTGCATTAGGCCCAGAGTAACTTCACCCTTCAGGTGCCTGTGGGCATCTGTATCTGCCTTATTCTCATTTGGGTTTTCTTTTGGATCGCATTTTGCAAAGTTTTACCATCTGTGTGTATTTGTGACTCTTTCTTCAAAAGTCAGCTTTTAACCATCAACAAATATAAATAATCATAAATATTCTCTAGAAGCAAATAAAGATAAGTTATGTGCATAAACTGCCCAGTATTTAAAAATATAAGCTGCCTGAGGAACAGTTGTGTTCTCCCCTTGTGTATCTACTGTATCTATGACATGCGTGACCAGGAACAGGACTCAGGAACAGCCAGAGCTGTGTCAGAGAGGGTTAGGCTGGATATCAGGAAAAGGTTCTTCCCCCAGAAGGTGCTGGGCACTGCCCAGGCTCCCCAGGGAACTGGCACAGCTCCAAGGCTGCCAGAGCTCCAGGAGGCTTTGGACAATTCTCTCAGGGTGGGATTGTTGGGGTGTCTGTGCAGAGCCAGGGGTTGGACTCAATGATTCTTGTCAGCCCCTTCCAACTCAGGAGATTCTATAATTCTATCATCTATTATTAGGTGTCTTGTTAAATGAACTGCCTAAAACAAGCTGATGGAAGTCCAAAGTCCACTCAAATCAATAAAACTGCACTGGCACAACCAAAAACATGAAGTCTGGGGATTGTGACCATCAGGTCCCACAGAACCAGAGACAAGTGACAGGAACAGACTCAGGGCACGGCTGAGCAGGGCTTGGGAGAACCTTGGGGACGCCACAGATGCCACACGGTTCACAACTGGAGCAGGGGTGTGATAGCAGCAGCACAGGAGTTTTTAATTGTCACCTAAGCAAGGAAAAAAGCTGTGGATTATTAAATGACTGTACACGTACCAACGTTGCCTCAGACGGCCAAATTGCTGGTTAGTGGAAACCTTTAATTACAGAGGTACAGATGAATGACACAAAGATTAGGGTGATTTCCAATCCATATGCAGATGTGGTACAGAATGTTTCTTTGCTGTCTAAAGAAAAATAGAGATACAATTTACATTTAGGAGATACGATAAGCAGCAAAGAAGAGTAAATAGAACAGAAGATAGAAAAGTAATGGGGATACTGGGAAAACACTAGTAACAAGATTAGTTTCTGGCAGAAGCTCAATTTAAGCACAACTACTTGTGTTTTTTATAATTATTGACCCAACGCAACAGAAAGAAACAGTGTTTTCAACAGCACAGAAGGACAGGAAACCTTCACTGCTTCACTGAATGGGGTAAATTATAGGTAGATCACTGAAAGTGTGGAACAAATGGAAGCCTCTCTGAGCACTGTGTGTAGTTACAGACCCTGCATTCCCAAAACACAGGAGCTGGGAATTTCCTGGATGTAAAAGCCAAAATAACTCTTCCTGATTTATAGACCAGCCAGCAAAGCTGAGCAGAGTACCTGAGCAGGGTACTGGAGCTGTTATTTTCAGTCTCACACAACAGGAACGGTAATTTAACTCCAGCCATGCTACACAGGCAGATTTCATCCCAATTAACCTAAATTCCAGGCTGTCAGGACACCGTGTTGTTGTCTGTACATACAAATTACTGATTTTTACTTGCTACACTTTTCCGAAGGTGGCCGCTAATTCCTTTGTGCTGTTTTGACCACTGGCTGACCACACATGGTGCACACCAGGTAAAGCCAACCAAGACAAAACAGAGCTAATGATACACTACCTGAATTTCTCCATTTTCCAATTGCAACACAATTTCTGGCATGTGTTCTTAGCTTAGCATTCACCTGGTTATTATAAAATATATACATATATATATATAAAATGTCTATTTTATGGCTTATGAAAGACTATGCAGTTGCTTAGTTTTTGCATTGAAAATAACTTGATGGGTGCCCTATTAAAAAAAATTATCTCAACCAATATTTATATTCCTCATGGTTGTTTCCATCACTGGGATCAGTTATATGAAAAATCCAATTTTTTTCAAACCCAGTACCTAGTGGTTAATGTTCCGTAAGGTTGTTTTTTTTTTTTTTTTTTTTTTTTTTAGTGCTTTTATTTTCTTTAGCCAAGACAATCTACAAGGCCATTTTAAAGTCGAAAAATCTTTTTACTCTTCAAGGATCATTCTACCAAGGTGCGCATGGTGATCACCGCTCTGGAGCGTCCCAGCCGGGGTCCCCGAACACCCACGGACACCGATGGCTGCTGCGGGGCGGGGTCGGGGGTTGCTCAGCCGGAGCCCCACGGGCAGAGGCCGGTTTGGACCGCGTCCCGAGCACCCCGGGGCGGCCACCGGAGGGTCCCGGGCACCCCGACACCTGCAGAGCGCTGGCCGCGGTGCCGGAGGCTCGGCGAGGGAGGCACCGATGGGTCCGTGAGGGAAGGACAGGGAGAGGGACAGCGACAAGGACAAGGACACGACCCCGGTCCCCTCACGGTGCCCCCGGCCCCGCCCGCCGGTCACGCGGCGCGGGGGGCAGCGCGCGCGGGGCTGTCACGTGAGCGCGCGCGCGCGGGCCGTGACCTACTTTGGGCTAATGGCGGGGCCGCGGGCGGGCGCGCGCACAGCTCCCTCAGCGCCCCCCGCGCCACCCCCACCACGGCCAAGCAGGGGTGTCCGTGTGGGAAAAGGGGGGGTCCGTGTGGGACAAGGGGGGTCCGTGTGGGAAAAGAGGGGTCCGTGTGGGAAAAGAGCTGTCCGTATAGGAAAAGGGGTGTCCCGGTGGGAAGAGGGGTGTCCGTGTGGGCACGGGTCCTGCCGAGGGATGGGGATCCGGCCCGGGAGGGGTGTGAGCGGTGTCCTGCAGGAGGAAGGGAGTGTCCAGGCTGGGAGGTTGCCCTGCCGGGGGCTGTTGCCCTGCCGGGGGCTGTTGCCCTGCCGTGCCGTGTGCTCCTGCCGCCGAGATCCCGTCATCGCCCCCGTGTCCCCCCAGCTCCCGGCCGCCGCCTTGTCCCGTGTCCCCGTGTCCGGCCCCGGGGCACCGTGCGGGATGAGCCCTCCCTAGGGCAGAAGCTCCCCCGGGAGCTCCGGCGGCCGCGGCCGCTCGGAGCTGTTCCCGCTGGAGCCGCGCACGGCGCGCTGCGGGTCAGACCTGGCTCGGTCGTGACTGCAGGGACAGCGGGGATCGCCTTTGGGCAACCCTTGGCCTGGCCTGCACTCATTCCTGCCCTTAGGTCTGAATCAGTTCGTGCCCCTTTGCTGCCCCCTGCCCCACTCCAAGTTATTTTAAACTCGTTTTAGAAAGGAGGGACTGCAGGCTTTAGGTAAAAATCTCCAGCATGGTTCATGAGATTCATTTTCTTCTCTGTTTTGCAGCAGTTCCCATTCTCTTATACATTGCCTTGGCATACCCTGTAATGGAAATTGGGAATTCTGTTCTGAAATATATCCTGGAAACATGACTGCAGGTTTTTTTCTGCATAGAGAAAGCTGGAGTAAAAGTGGGGTTTTTAGGGATCTGGCTGGCCAGTATGTTCCAAGGCACCTACCTGTTTTTTCTCCATAAGCATGGATAAAAGTGGGGCAGGAAGACGATGCA